TTCCTCATACACATACACAAAGTGCTGAATGAAGATGGAAGGAGTATTAATCTAAATATTTGATGTGGTGATTTGAGTCTAAAGCAACCTTGTTTTAGGATACTATATCATACGGCTATCATTATCAAAGTAAAACTTTTCTTTTAATTTATTAATAACTTAGAGAATTTTATTGGTTATTCCATAAGAATTATTAAGTGACGGCTTAGTGGAAGAGTGTGTGTTTTAGACAGTATTGCTTTAAACCCTAATGCTCCAGATAATTTGAGATTTGTCTGTGTTTACATGTCATGAAGTAAAGTGAACTTCGGGCAAGCATCCAGTTAGTTTTTATCATTGTAGGTAGACTGACCAGATAATGCTCTTTAAATACTTTCCTGCCATTCCCTATCGATGCCTTTTCTGTATTTCCACACAAGCAATACTCAGAAAAATTGTTACAGGTGCTCATTTCAACAAGTCAAAGAAAAAAGGTAGACAAGGCTTGAACCACTATGTATCGTAAGAAAATTACTATGTACGTGCAGCTGTATTTTGTGTAACACACTATGTAAATTTAAAGTAGAGCAAAAAGAACTCTTAACCAAATATGATATAATTACGCTCTGTAGACATTGGGAAAGATAAATATGGATGACTGTTATTTGCTTTGAGTCCCAGGACATACTAAAGCTGAGATCCTTTATATGTAGTATCTGTCATTTCTCCTATGAGAAGTAAGTCAAGAAAGTTGAGGGGACAGCTTCTTCCTTTAAATATTCCGGGGCACTAAACAAAAACACCCATAGGAAAAATACTGTATCTGAATATCAGTACTTTCTGAAAAGTGTGTTTATTTTATTATTCATAATACTTCTCTCTCTCTCTCTCTTTTTCTTCTGTAGCAGTTATATGCTGCCCAGCTAGCTGCAATGCAGGTATCTCCAGGAGGGAAGCTTCCAGGCATACCCCAAGGCAACCTTGGTGCTGCTGTATCTCCTACCAGCATTCACACAGACAAGAGCACAAACAGCCCACCACCCAAAAGCAAGGTACCCTTTTGAAGTAGTTAGCTGTCTTGTCACTTAGAGTTTTATTTTTTATTCAGTGGTACTTATTGAGTGTCTATTATACGCCAGCAACTAGGCTAATCTCTGGGTATACAAGGAGGTAAGAGTCTAGAAAGGGCAAGCAAGTAAGTATGAATGTAAATTTACCAGCATACATTTAGTCATTCATTTATTCATTTATTTGATAAATATGTATTGATAGCTATAATAGGACATGTGAGTGATAAAAAGATTTATCAGATGGGAATACTGTACCCAAGGAGCTTACAGTCTTATAAAGTAGTATTTATAAAAATAGCCAATTAGCCATACTCTATGGTAGAAAATAATAAATTTTATAAAGAGTTGTAACAGATAAAGTACATCAGAGGTTATATTAAGAAGAAGAGATTACCATCAGTGAGAGATCCAGGCAAGAGTTTGCCAAAGAAGGGGCAACTGAAATAAACCGTAAAATGTGAGTAGGATTAGGACATATTTAAAGTGCTTTTTAAATCTTAATAACTGTTACGATACAGTATAGATATAAATTTAGATAGATCACCCACCCAATGAAATTATCATGTAAAAAAATGAAGATAATGGTATTACAAGTAAGACTATTTAGAAATAGTTTTGTTTTTGGAGCTGAAGAAACATTTCCTAAGAAGATATGGAAAAGGATCAGGGGAGGAGATTTCAAATAATGTATGCTTCTTGATGTAAAAGGAGAGAGAATCAGAAAAAATGATCTGAAGTTTTTTTGTATTTGTTAAGATCTTAGTTAGATGATATCGTATAAATATAGTAAGTTTTCTATGAAAGAAATAAGAAGAGTTACCATAAAGTGGTATTCCCTGAGGTTAATCAGGGAAATAACCACAAATATTTTAACTGTATTAGAAAATGTTGAGTAGAAAACTAACACAGTTAATTTACCCCCAAAATAACTTTTTTTTTTTTGCTGATTTACCTAGAAAATTGCTTCTATTCTCCGTCTAATTAACGCTATGTTGAAATAGGCTAACAGGTGAAGAGTAGTCACAATGATTGAAAGAAATATGCAGAGAAAAGGATTAGGAAGTACTGAAAGAGAAAAATTCTAGAATTTTAAAAAATCCTTCTCCAGTACCCTGGTGTCTCCACCAGGAAGTCTTTCACTGTTACTGTATTACTCTGGAGAGTGAATCAGGAAGAAGACATCCATCAATCTGTTGGGAGAGAGCACTACAGCCTCCATTGTTCCGGAACTTCCTAGTCCTTTTCCATGTTATTAAGAGAAAAATACCTTTGGGAATGTAATTTAACCTGGACAAGGACCTTGGATCATGATTCACCAGCATATGTACAAATATATATTGAAAAATACTGCACACACTACAGTGGCATTAGGGAGTATACACAGGCCACTTTTAAGATCTATTTCAGCTGTTTAATGGACCTTGCATGTTCTGTGCTTAATATGTATCTAAGGCCTAGTCTGCTTTTCTTTAGAATCACAGCAGCATGTAAGTTTTTAAGACTTGGTAATAATAACATTCATTAAATAAAATTTAATTTTAAAGCAGTGATATTTTGGCTTCTCTGTGGACCAGCAGTCTTAATGTATTACATGTACAGGCTAACTTTGAGTAAAATAAATAGGTGTAGCCACATAGTCATTGTCACACAAGATACCTCGGTGAGTTATTATTCTTTGTTTTTTCCCTTGATTTATTGATGTGACTTCACATGCTATTTCATAATGATGCTTTACATTAGGATATTTCATTTATGATTTTAGGCTATGTAGTTCACTTTTAAAGACATATAGATTTTTTTCCTTACCCCTAGAATAACTTTTTATCATTAATATCTTCTCACCAAATCACTTACACAAATAATCATGAAGCTTTTGATGTCAATCATCCTCATGTATTTATGTCTTTTAGTTTGTGCACTCATTCATTTGTTCATTTAAATATTTATTCAGAAGTTGCTACAGTGATACTTTCTTAGGTAATCATGGTAAATGCTAAAGTGACTGAGGTTTGCTTTGCCAAGATTAGGAAACTGCTTTA